CTCTAATGTAGTCATTAATTACTTAGAAATAGTTCATACTTTCAGTTTTCCCCCTCCTTATGAATCAGGACATGGAAGATTTGCAAGAGAAGTGAGAAAAGTTAGAGTTATTATTCAAGACTTTTATCTGACTTCCTCTAACCCACATAAAACCTAACAGCCCTTTCAGAGAAAACACTGCTTTAACCACTGTAAAACAAGTAAAAAATATAAAACAAACACCTGTTTTGATTATTTGGAACAAAATAGAAAATTCAGCTTAAGTAATTACAGCAGCTTGACCTCTCAATARCTTGAGGTATAATTCCAGAGCTAGGGACTAAGGTTCCCAAAACACATTTTCCTTCAATAAGCCAGCCCTAGAGATCTTCTCAGTAGCTCTGTCCAAGTTCACATGCGATCATGGACAATGTTTTTCCAGTGCAGATGTTTCCCCACCATGCTGCCTTCTAGTCACTATGGATGCTACAAGAGCAAATCCAAACAACTAAGCAGGACACTTAAATGGGTGTTAATGTGATATTAGATAGTGAGAGAGTTTTAAGTATTGATCACTCATCCRTTCAACCAGCCTTTAGTCCAAAGTCATGTCTTTGGGTTATGTAGTTCCACTAAGATAAAAGATTTGACAAGACTTAATTTAAAAAAAAATATGGTTAAAAACAACAAAAGGAAACCCACACCATAATGCTCTTCCTCACAAGTCATCTTAAGTAGTATTAAGATGCCATTAAGAACAGAGAAAGGTGTTGCAGGTTACACACGAACAACTCCAAGCTCTGTGTTTTTAAGATATTAAAGGGTCAACTGGAAGGGCTCCCCTTCACCTCTCCTGAAACCTACTGATGGCCAGCACCAGTAAGAGCACAAAGTGGAATATTTCCCCAAACCAACCTCCTGCTATTGCCATTACAGATACTAGCACAAGAATGACAGTTATATTCATTAAAATATTCTTACAGGCATATCAGCCCTTTGCCTAGCAAGGCTGCAGAGAGCATGAACAGAAACTCTCAAATTGCAAGAAATAGCAGGATCTCCCTTATTCTAAAGCAACTGCCATGAAAGYGCATCTTCTCCCTCCCCAACCCAACAGCCTGGATGGTTTCGATTAAATGACATTTACTAATATGCATTTTCTCACTAGATTGAGAGAGATTCAGTGCTGCTACATCTGTGGAATGTTTTCAAGTTATTCTCTTAAGTAAACACAAGACTATAAAATGTAAATATAAACATAACAGTTTGACAGAAGCAAAAGCATAATTTGAATAAATAGGGAAGTTAATGAAACACTATTACATGTAAAAGGCTATCATCTCCCTCTATGCACTAAGCAGTTAACTTGCTACTGCCAACTCAGAAATAAAAGAATCCATTGGGCTTAATCTTTAGATTTTTTTAATGCAAGAAAAAAAACATTTATTTCTATGCACCAGCCATTAAAACTACCTTCCAATTTTCTTATTGCTATTAGTTAGTCCTGACTTGTCAATCTAAGACGACACAAAGCAACACTATGTATCTGTGAACTAGACCAGGAGAGTGGAAACAATCACCAATCTGAATTGCAAAATTAATACAAGGGCAGCAAAACATTTAAGGAGAAACAGTCAGATTCCACAGGATTGTCTGACAAGCTGTCAATCGCCAGCAGAGCAGGATGCCTATAAAGTAAAAATAATGAGGAAACAAGCAAACTCCTTACCAAAAAAGAAGCCATGGACACTGCTATTTTTAAGTGATTTATTACATATTTCATCATGCCTTGGGATCAATCCTTTTATTGCAATACTTCCATTTGCCCATCCTTTAATACACACAAGGACACCAAATTTAATTTTGCGTCTAGATTACYTTTGGACTTTCCTCCCTTAATACCCAACCCCAGAATTTTCTACTCTATATCCAAGCCTTCAGCTGTAGCTACAGCCACAAATGAACAGTGACATCTTCAAACACATACAGAAGAGTAAATTAGTTCTCCAAGTCTGGTATACACCAGACCTAAGGTCAACCCGATCTCAGRTTTTGATACTTCCCACGTAAAACTTTCTGGATTAAAAAATAAACTAGAAACCACACATGAAACCACACTGTATAATACACTGAAATATTCCCCTTAGACAAGGGGACAGATACTCTGTTCTCATGTATTAAGATGTCAAAATCCTCTGGGATGTGTTGCAATATTTTCAGGTTCTTCTCATAAAACATTATAAATTTGTAAAAGCCTATTAATCTAGAAATTTAGTCCCAGAGGCGATTGTTTAAAAAGACTCACCATGTCCAGCTAGACAAAACTATTTAAACCTATAGAAATGATTAAACTTGAAACACTAAACTGCTTCTGCAATGATTTTGATAATTTTCATCAGGTTTATATCTGATAGAGAAGGATAGAGAAGTAACTATATTCAAGCTTTTTGCCTTTTTAAAAAAGTAACTGTGATTATCAATTAAAAAACAGATTTTATTCTCAACAAAAGGCAACTGAGTCTTTTAAATGGTAGTTTGCATATGTTTACCTAGAGTGCTTAAGAACCTGGGAGTAAGTTCTCAGTTGGGTGCTTTACTTTTAAACCAGAATTTACATTCTGGTATGTACTTACCATTTCCATTTTCTTTTGCTGTTCTACCTTTCACTTTAATTTCAAGACAGAACCATTCTCTGCTCATCCCTTCCTTTTTACTCCTCTTTTTCCCTAGTTTCCCTCTAGAAACACATGCATAAGAACCTCCAAAAAAAGCAAGCAAACCTGTAAGACTGGTAGCTTGATGTGTCAGTTGTTTTCGTCTTGCTTTCAAACTGCAGTGCAAAAGTTGATTATTTAGCTTTTTTTAAACACTACTATTTTTACCCATTACAATTTTGTTGCAAAATTACTATTCTCTGGGGAAAGATTTCTAACTCCCTTGGTCTGGTACTAAAACACTTGGTGCAAAGTGAATACAGGACAGCTTTTTTTTTATTAGGTATAACGCTTTACAAAATTAGAGCGGTCATGAGGAAAGCCTTTTATAGCACACTTAGCTTTACTTCCCCAGCCCTCTCAGGAACGGTATTATTTTTTATTTGKTTTTTAATCTCGTGAACTTTATGATCACGAAGGCAACTGCTCTCCAAAATTCCTAGTAACCAGCCCCTGTGGAGAAAGGCCTTGTGGGCACTGCAAAGAAGTCTAAGTCAAGGGGTAATTTAATCCTCTCAAATCCAAACCTCCAAGAAAAACTGAACTGCACTGAATTTCAAATGCCTGCTCCTTTGGAAGCCCGCGAACTAATGGGATTTCAATTGGTAATGCAAGAGAAAAAAGCTACCAAACTAGATCTAGCTTAAGAAAAGGTCACTCTTCTCAGGATGGGCTGGCTAAAGTGCACCTGACAAAGTCTTCCACTTTGCTCATAGAGACTTTCCACAGTAATTTCTATTTTCTCAGAAATAATGACTCGAACCCTAGAGTCTTGATCATTTACTGTCACCTCATCATCATTCCCTAGTGGTACAATTGTAAAAAACATTTGTCCTGGCAAAATCTGRACAATAAACAGCTCATATTGGCTGCAACAGATTATATATCCAAAATGGATTTCATTTGACTTGAGTCAAAGTAGAAATAGAACTCCTCATCTCAAAAAGCAGAAAAACCTAGATTTAAGGCAAGTTTAATTTTAGTCTTAGACCCTTGAGAAGCATCTATTTAAACAAACCACAAGTAGTGATCTTTTCAGTTATCATATAAAACTTACAGAACAAGCTAAGTCTAATCAAGTCTTTTGGTTCCAAAGGAATGAGTTAACTTCAATATTGACTCTTTAAAAACAAAAGTGGAGGAAGAATTCCTTTTTTTGAGGTGGAAGAGAAAGATTTTTGTTTAGGATAGTCACACAGTTGTGCTTTCCTCCTTGATCTTGAGCTGATGGTAGTTCTTCCGTGSAGACCTCAAAGAGTAGCCAACCATCAGTGGTAAAATTGTACACAACACTTGAAATATCCCATCTCTGCCACTAACAGAAAGTGTTTTTTCAGTGAGAAGAAATTCTACTTCAATGTGATCTCATTTCAGCTGAGCACTAGGGAAAAGCATATCTATTTCCATCCAAATTAGAAACTAAAAGAACTGGAAAGTCAACTGAGGAACACAGTGACTACAAACTTATGGAGAAAAATACTACTGAGGCAGCCCTGATCTTCCCCCTGCCATTACCCTTTTCTTCCTGAAAATATATGCAAAATAATTGGCAGAACAAAGAGCTTCACCAAAAAGCAGATAAAGCCAGTGAAATAAAAGACTTATTTACTAGCATTTTCCATGCTATTTTAAGATAATCAAGTCTGAAGAAACCCAATTTAAAGAAGTGATCTAGATGAAATAGCATCAATGAACATTATCCTCTATCATCTATCACCAAACTCTGATTTAAAGCAGACTTAAAGGCATTACAGCCATTTTGGTCCCTAAAATTATAGTCGTATAAGAGCTGCTCCCTTTCTTGGCATGATTAGCACAAAATTAAAGCAAGTACAGACAAAAAAGCTTTGACAAAATTGTGCTTAGAAAGGCTATGGGAGATTTCTGACTTCATCAAGTCTTTTTTTTTTTAAAGGAATAGTTAATACTCAGTTATCACATACACTCAATTCACTGCAGACATACTAAATGTTCACTGGCAACATTTTTGACAAACCTGGCGATCTATGTTTAAAGGTTTGACCCGATGACACATCAAGACATGAGCTCATCCTTTTTATTAGGTCAAGAACAAGACATTTTACAGGAATTTTACATCAAAATACATGGTTTAATATTAGTTTTGGGCTTAGTGCTTCTGACACAGATTTTCAAACTGATTTATTAAATATCCCATATTCAAGTTGTCCTTCATGCCCTTTAAACCTTAATCCAAACATGATCCTTTGATTACTTCCTGGTTGGCTTTCCCCTCTTTCTTACATCCAAGATGCAACTTGCACTCCAAAAAATAATGTAAACACCTGAAAGGCTCATGTAAGGGTAATACATCCCATTCTCCACGTCTTGCTCAAGACGCTGAAATCTTCCACAGCAAACAGTTTTTAACTCCAGTCCTCTAAGTTTGAGGCTCACAACTTCCCTACGAAACCAGCATCAAGTATTTTGAGTCAAAGAGACATTTGATTTCAGTACGTCTTAAAATACGGAGCATGAAGTTTAACACACTTGGATAAAACAAAAGTTCTCTTCCAGAAATGAAATGTTTTGACATTTTTTGAAATGTCTCATTTTTAGTTTTCTTTCATAATTAAATTTTACTGAAGTTGCCACGTTCTTAAGGAAAGTTTCCAGCCTGGCAAGACTGTTTTYTCCCAAGGTGAGGCTCTGTTGGCAAAAGGTAGTGGTGATTACAGTGTAAATTCTGCCTTGTTCCCACCTCCCCCTTACACCAGCTATTTGGATTTCAAGGTCTGAAGTAGATACTCATTTTTTTATAAAGGAATACAAGCAAACCTTGCAAGGCACCTAGACTGGTAAGTGATCACTTACCATTTAAGACTAATGGTCATCGAGATACATACATYAGCACAAAAGAAATGCTTTTCTAGAATAATGTGCATGAAAAGAACCTAGAACCTACACAGAATTAAACTATAATGGTGGAAATAGRGATTTTGTGCAAATCTAGAGCAATAAGGTTTCCTCCAAACAGCTGAAGTGGAACTGGATGAAAGAAGACATTATAGTTGTGATGAAACAAATTCTCTCTGTTTGCTTCTTACATATCARATAGTTTTGAAAGTATTTTGGACTATTTAAACACTTGATTAGAAAYACTTAGCTTTTAAAAAAGCTCCAAATAAGTTCCCCATTCTCCCATCCCTACAAGAGTTAATGGGCAATATATTGCACATGTTCATTATATTGTGTTAATACACACCACAGATAAAACTAGCAATGGAGCTAGCCTTTTGCTTTAAGGAGGAATACCACAGGATTACAATATACAAACAGAAGCCAGAGGTTATACATTTGCACCACTGGCTGTCCTGCAAACAGAACATTTTCCTGTTTTTAGATCAATAGCATCTCCTAAGCTAATAGAAAAATGCCTGTGGATGAATGTCTTTATCACATCACATAAATATCACACTGCCTGCCATGTACAACAGGTAGTTTCTGAACTCCCAAATACCAGCATGTAATAAATAGAAAATATTTCTTCAAAAATGAAAGTCTGACAGAGTAAGAAGGATTTTGCACTAAATTTATATTCTTCCAAAATTTCCCTTCACAGGGAAAAGCTTATTTCTTTACACCATTTAAGACATAGCTGCACTGAAGCAGTCACCTTCCTGTACCTCTATACTGGTATCAGGAATCATTCTCAGCCTTCACTAATTAAAGCTGGTTTCAAGGCTCTTGTAAACTGCAGGCTTTTGCCTCCCGTCTTCTCCAAAAGCCTAAAGACAGGAAAGCCTGGATCACAGTGCAACATGAAACACATTAGTCGAAAGCTACAGCAGCTACTTTTACACCTCATCTTATTCCTCAGCTACAGTCAAACGCTTTGAAGTCAACATGTAATCATCAAGGCCTCTGATCTMTGGTGGGATTAGTCTGGTAAGTCTGTGACAGCCTGTGCAGCTGCAGCAGATGGGACATTGCTCTTGGGGTGGCTTTTTAGGACATCGGCCTCGCTAATCACCAGACATCATTTACCAGAGCGGCAGAAACCACTAGGAACACATGGGCCCAGAGCTTCTAGGAGGTTCTGCTTCAGGTTTTTGTGTTCCACAGTTTCTCCCCTTGTGCTTTGTATTTCCAGCTGCATCTCAAGTGCTGTCCTGTATTAATTTACTCAGTAGCACGGCATATTTACAGTTGTCTGCTATAACATATGGATTTCCTTTCATCTGCCTCCTTTATTCACCTGCCTGTATCTAATACAGAGCCTGGACATGATCTGGAAAGACAGATGAAGATTTTAAAAGTCAACTTGTACCTGCATCTGTTCTCTCAATCCGTCCTTGGCCTCTTTCCTTCCTCTGCTGTATTTGCACAGGATGAAGTCAGAATCCTGCGATTCGTCTTTGATTAGTTTTGAATTGGAACAATTTTAAGCTTCGACAAGAAGGGGGGGCAAAGGGGGAGATGTCCTTTAATATAATAATTCTGTACTTCATACAGATCAAACTCTTCAGATTCCTGCTGGAAAAGGGAGGTGCACCACAGGAAAGAACTGAGGTAATGAACATTTCTGTCACTCACCTTACAGACTCATTTTTCTTCTTCATTTTATTAGATGCTGCCTTGTTCTAGTCCTTAAACACAAATGACAGATTATATTAGATGCATAAATTATACGGATTATATTTCTGTCACCACTAAATTAGCTGTTAAATTTAGTTTGCATCATGTTATTGACAGCTCCCTGACTTAAGTACCTTTTACTTTTTTCTCTACCTTTTCCTTACTATTTTGTCACAATCTCCACCACTTTTTGGAAGAACACAGCAAGAAGCAGGCACACATCACAGCTTTACAAGGACAGAAAGGATATGTTTCTTATTAAGGATGCACAGCAGGATCTCAAATAAGTTAAATATTACATACTCAAATACCAATATAAATACAGCTCTTAATGCAGGAAGGTTTCAAGGGTCTTTTTGACCCCAAAGTTGTAAGCCACACATGTTTTTGTTCCATGTAAAAATCAGTTTGATGCAAAGAACATGTAAAAAATGTGGAGATTTAAACTTCCAAGTTGGATCTTCTCAAAATAATTCCGCTTAAAAAAAAAATCTATGTGTATCCAGGTCACAGACAGTTACCATATGGTTCACCCAAACACCATCAATGCAAAGTTCTGCCATGTTGAGTACAAACAAAACCCAGCAGGATTCGATAGCTTCAGCACAGCAAGGTGTGAACCACATTGCTTTTTACTGGAGCTTGAACCTCCAGTTCAAGTTCAAGCACATGCCCAACATCACCTATGATTAAGTGTCACAGATGACTCACCACCAAGTCTTTCCAAAAATAGTTTCTGATGCAGTTTGCTGCAATTCACAAAGAGTAAAGTCCAAGTTCTCTGCAAAATTACAGAAACTGTTCTGTAACTATTCCTGCTCAATTAAATTCCAGAGCTCTGCCCCAAGTCATCAATTGACAAAGGGAACAGGGAAAAGGGGCCCACGTGCCCTGCCCTGAGCAGGGTGCTGGAGTCCAACACGCTGCTCAGATCCACTTTGCAGCTCACACCACCTCCCAGAATCTTCTTGCCCAATCCCCAAGTCCCCTCCTGTTCAATTAAACTAAGATAGTGAAAACCCCAGGGAATCATTGACATCAGCAACCCTCCTCTGTACAGTCACAGCTCAAACAATTGGCAAAGGAAGCCAAAGGATCTCATTCTGGGTGAAGCTTAGAATGACTTACATTTACCTCTGGCATGCTTAAACAATTCCCTGCATGGAATAGGAGAAAAACACCCAAGGAATTCCCTTAGTACCAAACCAAAATTTTATTTTCAGAATGAGAAYGAGCAATCTGTGCTCCAGGACTCAATTGCAGGGAGAGTACAACGCACAATGAGGCAGTGCAGCTAGAATAAACTCTGAAGGTTGAAAAGGAATCTGCTTAAAAGCCTTTAYGCACATTTAAAACTTGTTTTGAGGATCTGCTCAACATGTCTTTATTGCCGAAGTTTTTAAAGTTTGAATCTCAAATGTGTTTTTAGCACGAGATAAGTAGAAATAAAATTATGCCAAATACATTGCAATAGCACTTAGGGTAAGTGCCTCCAAACATCGTGGCATTCTGAAGCTGGGTGGGGTTTGGCAGGCTCACCTGCACAGCCAACACCTCCCTTTTACATTTTGGGCTTTTTTAAATCACAGGGGCTTCTGCCTGAGCAGCTGATCATCCTGCGTCTGCCCGGGAAGCCACKGCTAAAGCAGGATTAACAAAAGCTAACGGGGAAATCTTTCCATTCCTCTTGCTTCCTGATTTTTGAACATGTTGTACAGAGCCTCGCACCACACTACCACCCAAAAAAYGCCCATTTAACCCCTGCAGCAAAATATCCTCTTAACATCCTCTTTAACATCAAAAAACCTCTTTTTATATATATATAATTCCCTTCAGGATTTGGGGTTGGGCTTTTTTATTAAAAGTAGGTCAGATTTTATTCAGAAGCAAATCACTGTTAGAAACAAGTCATTTGACAGAGCAAAGAGATGTTTACACTATATATTTTAAAAAAACCTCAGACTCAGACTGATTCAACAAGTTGCTTCTGAACCAGACTCAGATTTGTATATTGCCCATTTAGAGTGCTACAAATTCCATGGGGTTATAAGAGCATTAAAAATACTGTCAGTAACACTTAACTGTCAGCACCATACTAGAAAATCCAAAAAGAAGATTTTTTGGCCTATCTGTATAGCTTATTGCAGACACAACCAAATCAGCAGGGTTTCAGTTGGGTTAAATACAGAAGATACTTCCACCTTCCTCCTTCCCTATTTCAGGTCCTATTACTTTAACCCCCCAGAAGAAGAATTTGTAAATTTTAATCCTAGCTCTGGAAGACCCTGAGCAAGCTGCTTAGCCTGGGGCCTCTTGGCCTAGACAGAAAGCTCAGCTTAGTCAGAAACCTGGGCTAATTCCTCCCTGCTACAGCAGATAGGAGCGAGCAGCTGTCACGCAGCTCTGAAGCGCTGCAAAATTAAGGGATAAGCAAGAGACTTTGCATGGACTTTGCAAAGACCAGCTTAGAAACAGTCTAAGAAGTTGGACGAGCAATTGTCAATATTCCTATTCAAAAAGATTCTTCCTCTTTCATCAAAAGAAACATGGAAATAGCTCCATTTTGCAAAGCTACACATGAAAAAAAGGAAAAAGCACCTTATTGCACCGGTAACACGGCTGGGCAGCAAACAGTGCAGCACGACAGCACAAATGCCTGCTAATCTCATGGTTATTTTCTAGCCAGCAACCAATTAATTTACATTTTGAAATATATTCACTCACTTGTTTGGGAAAATATTCCTATTAAATGCAAAGTTATATTACCCAGCGCACCCAATAAGGATTTTAATTAAACTGTCAGCTTTGTGAAGCCAAAGTTATCTAAAGACTGTTCTTCTCACTGGCCTCTTATTACACTTGGATTTTGTTTTCATTAGTTTCTTTCTTGTGGTGGCTTTATTTTCCCCTCTCATTACAGTGAAGATTCATAGATCAAAATGACACTTCTGCAGGAAACTCCCAATTCAGCCAACACCGTGTCTGCTCATAAAAGATACAAACCTGCTTATCAGAAACTTATTTCCTCTGCATAAATGAGCACACAAGCACCAGTGACCTACAGCAGTGAAATTATTAAGTGTCAATCGTTCGCTTGGGCAGAGAAAAACCTGTTCCAGGGGATTACAGCCTCCAAGTACTTATTCAGGGGAATAACACATATCCYCACAGAGATGTTTCTAAGAATACAKATTTTTTTCCTACCCTATAGTAAGCATCTTCAGTCCTGGTTATTTATTTGTTTCTCTTTATGTAAGAAGATGCCAGAGAAGCCAACCCATGCTTCCTACAGTCCCAGCTTATGCAGTTTGAAGCAAAGCCTTGATCTTTGATATCTCTGCTGCAGAGATCCTCTTACCTCCTGTGGACGCCAGTAATCAAGAAACTCTTATTTCCTTTAGCAAAACTTCTTAGAGAGCCTCAATTTCTTCGGCTGCATTTTCACATCTACTGCCTTGACACAGTGCCCATTACCCATAGGACACTCGTAAGGCAGTCGGGATATGCTTTTAGACACATGCTATTTGCAAAACATACAATAGCTTACTGAAGGGGAAAAAGCATAAGGCAAAATACTCAAAATGCATCAAAGGTCCAAAGGCAAATTCAGAGATGCTCCCATAAGCCAGCAAGTCCCCCCTCGTCCCTAAAGTCATCTAGCTTCTATTTAGGACCTCTTCAGAACATTTTTTTAATACAAGTCTTTGGGAATACAGGGAGGTTTTAAGGTCTGCAGCAGCAGCATGTGAAGGGAAGCAGCCCCAGGAAGGCTCTTTGGTGCAGCTGAGCTGCGAGTGCCCTTAGCAGCCCTCGCTCCCCRGGCAAGCGTTACCATCCCCTTGCATCACCCCATACACACGCTTGGGTAACTGCTATCACCCCAATTTTGTCAAATTTTCAAGTCCTATTATTAGAAGTGGACATCATCACTAGGTGAACYAGAAGATGACTAACAGCATGTAAATAAAACACTTGTTAGGAGTGGAAGTAATTAGAAAGTTCTTAAAGCCTCACAGTCTAAAGCATTCTGCRATTCCTCATTAAATAGTCGCTGCCTAAGACAAAAAAGGAACTAGAAGAACAAAAAGATCAAATTAGAGATTTCACAGGGCTCCTGCTAAAAGAACCTCAGTTTTTGAAAGTAGACATTCAGTGGGAAAAAGCAATGGGAATGAAACCAGCAGAGTGAAGCAGAGCAGCAAACGGCAGATTGAATGYAAGATTGAATGCAAGGAAAGCTCTCACATTTAAAAACTCCATGAGTTTCTCAGAGTTAGACGAGAATAAATCACCACCATATCATCTATCACATGCAAGCCTTTTAACAAACCGCTTTTTGTACTGCTGGATGAAAAACAGCATCCTCTTCTGCCACAAAATATCACCCTAAATCGAAAGGCAAAGGCTTGGAGTGCTTTGGTTAACGTGGCATTTCTTCCACAGCTAGATAAATGCTGTTGGGTCTTAATTGCAAAACTTTCAAGACAAGGAGGGACCTCSTATGTGCACACAAAGCAGCTAGCAAATGAGGTCTTAAGGCTTCTAACGCAGTTCTTCTATAGCAGGGCTTATTTAGACTGGTTACTAGCACACGCTCTGCAAGTCTGTGCTACAAAGCACAGAGTGCAAAATACATTTCTGTCTGCTTGCACTCAGCAGCTCCAAGATCTTTCCCATCTCCACATCCAATCTAGAACAGCTCCTTTAATTTAAAGCTTGTATATCATAGCTAACAGCAGAGAGACAGGCTYGCCTGCAGACCAGGGCTGGTTTCCCCAGGAAGGGGCCAGCTAAGCTCAGCCTTAGGGCAATACRTGTGCATCTCTGCACAGGTGAAGCCAAATGGGACCACACTGCAGTCGTGGACCAAGATGAGCTGCACTGAACACATCTGATCTACCTTGCAAGTTCCCTTGCACCTGCACCAAGATGTGGTGGAAAGACATCACTTTCCCCCAATATAAGGGATATTTCAAGGAAATAATTGGATATTTTAATGACTTATTTTATC